GTCCACCTGTGCTAAATTCAGTTGATTGGACATGATTGAGAAAGGCACACACCTGTCGATATAAGGTATCACAGTTGACAGTGCATATCAGAGCATAAACCAAGCCATGAAGTCCAAGGAATTATCTGTAGACCTCCGAGACAGAATTGTATCGAGGCACAGATCTGGCGAATGGTACAGAAAGATTTCTGCCGCATTGAAAGTCCCAATGAGCACAGTGGCCTCCATCATCCTGAAATGGAAGAAGTTTGGAAACACCAGGACTCTTCCAAGAGTTGGCCACCCAGCCAGACTGAGCGATCGGGGGAGAAGGGCCTTAGTCAGGGAGGTGACCAGGACCCCGATGGTCACTCTGACAGAGCTCCAGAGAGGAGAACCTTCCAGAAGGACAACCATCTCTGCAGCACTCCACAAATCAGGTTTGGTAGAGTGGCCAGACGGAAGCCACTTCTCAGTAAAAAGCACATGACAGCCTGCCTGGAGTTTGCAAAAGAGCACCTGAAAGACTCTCAGACCATGAGAAAAAAAATTCTCTGGTCTGATGAAACAAAGATTGAACTCTTTGGCCTGAATGCCAAGCATCATGTCTGGAGGAAACCAGGCACTGCTCATCACCTGGCCAACACCATCCCTACAGTGAAGCATGGTGGTGGCAGCATCATGCTGTGGGGATGTTTTTCAGCGGGAGGAACTGGGAGACTAGTCAGGATTGAGGGAAAGATGAATGCAGCAATGAGACCTCCTCGATGAAAAAGAAGCGCTCTGGACCTCAGACTGGGGCGACGGTTCATCTTCCAACAGGACAACGACCCGAAGCACACAGCCAAGATAACAAAGGAGTGGCTTCGGCACTCTGTGAATGTCCTTGAGTGGCCCAGCCAGAGCCCTGACTTGAACCCGATTGAACATCTCTGGAGAGATCTGAAAATGGCTGTGCACCAACGCTCCCCATCCAACCTAATGGAACTTGAGAGGTTCTGCAAAGAAGAATGGGAGAAACTGCCGAGAAATAAGTGTGCCACGCTTGTGGAATCACACCCAAGAAGACTTGAGGCTGTAATTGCTGCCATGTATATACACGTGTATATATACATGTATGTATATACGTGTATGTGTGTATACGTGTGTATATACGTACGTATACGTGTGTACGTGTATGTACGTGTATATACGTACGTGTGTACGTGTATATACACACGTGTGTATACGTATACACACGTACACGTACATATATACACACATACATGTACGTACGTGTGTACGTACATACGTATGCGTACGTACATGTATGTATGTATGTATGTATGTATACCGAACCGACTCCTCCTCCTGTGGGCGGGAGAGGAAGTCCGCCACGACCATCTGCGCCCCCGGCCTATGGACCACCTTGAAGTTTAAAGGCTGTAGCGCCAGATACCACTGAGTGACCCGGGTGTTGGCATCCTTCATGCGGTGGAGCCACTACAGCGGGGCGTGGTCCGAACAGAGGGTGAACTGGCGTCCCAGGAGGTAGTACCGCAGGGAGTCGACCGCCCGTCGGATGGCCAGGCACTCTTTCTCCACCGTACTGTACCTGGCCTCTCTCTCGGACAGCTTCCGGCTGATGTAGAGGACCGGGCGGTCCACCCCCTGCACCTGCTGGGACAAAACGGCCCCAAGCCCCCTGCTCGACGCATCAGTCTGCAAGACAAAAGGGAAAGAGAAGTTAGGTGTATGGAGCAGTGGTTCCCCACAGAGGGCCCGTTTCACCCCCTCAACCGCCCACTGGCACCGATCCGTCCACTGGCCCGGATCTGAGGCACCTTTCCGGGTAAGGTCAGTCAAGGGGCTGGTCAGCTCGGGATGAACCCCATGTAGTTGCCTGCCAGCCCCAAAAACTGCCTCACCTCTTTTTCGTCTTGGCCCGTGGGCAGGCTGCGATGGCTACGGTTTTGTCCACCTGAGGGCGCACCCTCCCTCTGTCCGACTGCACACTTCCCCGGGTTGGCGGTGAGCCCGGCCTGCCTCAGGGACTCCAGCACCGCGCCCACCTGCTGCACATGCTCCGCCCACGTGGTGTTGTGTATGATGACGTCATCTAGGTAGGTGGCGGGATACGCAGCATGCGGACGCAACACCCGGTCCATGAGGCGCTGGAAGGTGGCCGATGTACCGAACAACGCAAAGGGAAGCGTGGTGAATTGGTAAAATCCAAACGGAGTGGAGAAAGCAGTCTTTTCCCTGGACTCTGGTGACAAGAGAATCTACCAGTAGCCCTTGGTCAAATCCAGTGTCGTAAAAAACACGCGGTGCCCAATCGGTCCAGGAGTTCGTCGACCCGGGGTATCGGGTATGCATCAAACCGTGGCTCGGGCTCCGGGGCCTTGCCCCTGAGCGTCTGCTCCCGTGTCTCTCTCGCTCCAGGTCCTGCTCACTGCTTTTTCACAGGGGAGATAATCAATTGTCATTACGTCCAGCTGTGCTTGCTCGTTACCTGCCGGCACCCTTCCCTGGACCACTCTCCCCCCTGCAGCTGAGCTAACCACGCCCGCCACCACAAAATATATATATATATATATATATATGAAAACAGCAAGAGCAGATGTTGACTTCTTCTTCATTTAGATAAATTGAAATTTACCTCAAAGCAGTTTACATTAAACATGTATGATTTGTGCCAAGTCATATTTAACCACAAAGATCTCTTTGATTGGTCTGTGATTGGGTTCCGTTCTATTGTGTTTACATACGTATAATATAAATACATAGATAATAAAATGAACTTTGGCTTTGGATATTTATACATATTTATTCACTTTTCTGACTGGAAAAGTCCCCACAAACAACTTCATTCATTAGAGTGATTTGTCTTTTTGTGATCCGTTATTTCCCCAATTAGCTTTAGAGTCAGAGATTGACTCCAGAACCCAGGGAAGCTTTTAGTTGTCTTTTCTGTTTGGTCGCCACATGAAAAGGCCATCTACAGGAAGTGGGTGTGGAAGAGGGGGGGTCCGCTTTGGAGAATCACAGTGAATGTGATTGTTTTAGTTCTCTTCTTTGCCATTTCATTAATTGGCCAGTGAAGGTAACTTATTTAGGGATTCTTGTTTTCTTTTTCCACATGTTCAGTAGTATAGTCATGATGAATAAACTTTTATCGATAAAAACGTCATTGTTTAAAAGCAGGTTTTTAAGTTTTCTCTACCATTTTTATTGAGTTTAAACAGGTTTTATATACAAAAATTCACTTTAATAAAGTAATAAAAGAGTCTGAAAGCATCTGCACTGACAGGAAACCTCTTGTTATGAAAATGAAAACGTGTCTTATAATCATTGACACGTTATTCACGTCATTCAATAAAATAAATGTTGCTCTTACACAAAGAATGTCAGTGTGTTGCTCTTACTTTACACTTTCATGTGATTTCACCACTTTTGTTCCGATTTGGATCTTGTTTTAGAGTCAATATATATACATATGCATGTATACACATTGCTCCTGGGCAAAGGTATTAGAGCAGTCTGGATTTCTGGAGCGAGACGTTTTTTTGTAGACATTAACATGTATACTGTCGGCCCCCACTCGAACATAAAAGGAAAAGATACTTCAAGCAAACCTCGGCTGGATTTTCTCAGACATAATTGTCACTGTCAATTTAATTTGTACAATAGTTTCCTTATAGCAGCTCTTTCTTAATGAGCTCCCCCTGCCAGAGGATGGAGTAAAACCTTTCATCACTATTAAATTTGGACAAACATTAACGAGCTGCAGCAGATGCCGTGCATTAAGCTTTTATTCAAATCTGCCATTTTCTGTGCTTTGGTTGGACAAGGGAGCGAGACAGCGATAGGTCAGCGGCGAGGGAGACGGCGGCGTGTGCACATGTGGTACTTTAAATGTTCAGTTCACAGTGCTTTGGGTGGAAAATGTGTGTGTGTGTGTGTGGTGTGTGTGGGGGGGATTCGGAGCACTTGTATGAGCACTTGTATGACTAGTTCTAGTTGGACTCTGTGACTATCGTCTTTTTTCTAATGGGCCTCTTAAATCCAGAGAAATGGTGAGACCCGACCTGTGGATTTGACAGGAGGAGTAAGTCGTGTGTGTGCGTGCGTGCAAGTGTGTGTGTGTGTGTGTGTGTGCGGCGTTCCAACGAGCGTGCATCACCTCAGTCAGCGCGGCGAGGAGCCGACGGCGTGTGAATCTCTGTGACTCTGAGGGGGATGACGGTGTAAGGCACCCCGAGGAGGGGTGGAGGGGGGGGTCGGAGGTCGTGACAGTCCAATTAAAAAGATGAGGACACGCGATGTGTCGGGGGAGGACGTGTGATTCGAAACAGCTCGACAAACACCCCCCTCGGCTCTAATAAGCAGTCCAACGCGCCTTGGCGCCGCCTCTCACCGCCTCGGTTTCCTGCCTAGTTTGAGATACACAAGCTGTGGCCCAATTCCGCTAGGCTGCAGATCTTGGTTTGTGAAATGGCTCAAGTTACGTGACGTTGGTAACCGATGTTGTGCATTAAATGAAGCTTAGGTGAAAATTCAGTCAGGAAGACTGGACAGGCTGTGCCGTTCCCTGGTGGCCTCCTCTCTCCCTGGGGGTGCACGGCCAGCTGATTAGGGGCGGGGTCGGGTAGTATCAGACGTGGGTGTCGTTATCGTAAACCAATCGCATTGGTGCAGGCAAACGTTAAAAACTGTTCTTCTCTCTTTTGCTGTCAGTTGTCATTTCATCACGCGCCAAAGGTAACCCGCCACCACCCTTGACACCGCCAATCTACAGCAGAACCTGGCATAGCAGGAGAGTTATGCAACTTGGGCTCTACCACCACCACCACCACCACCACCAGTGTCTGGACTCCCAAGGGGGGATATGCCTCGTCTCGGCTCGAGATCCCGGCCCCTGGTCTATCCTGCGGCAGGATGGAGTCCAAGCCCCAAACCACTTGCAATATTATATTATGCCTGTTAAAATAAAGCATTGTTCAAATTTCAACAAGTCTCTCCGGATTGAAATACACATAAGACGGTAGAATGAACTGATCTTATTTGTAACGTTGACTCTGTCCTGCTGCACCTCCCATCCCCCATACGGCCCTTGACCCAGACTACCCCTCTCACCCGAACCCCCCTCCCCATCAGTGTACCAACACACACTCATAACAAATGCACAGCTGCTGCTAATGTTTTATATGATAATCAAAGTGATTCATGAGAACTGACAGTGTCTCATGACATTCTGGCTTCTTCTTCTTTTTCTTCTTCTTCAGCAGGATTCACCTGTAGTGGCAGAGCTGGACGTGTCTGTATGCGCAAGAAATGACAAGAGTCCCAGCTTCTGGAAAGATTTAATCTCATTTACTTTCCCTGTTCCAACAAACAGTCAGGGTGATGTCAGGTGCAGACAATGCTCCTAGAATAACTGATCAAGCATTGAGACTAGTATCCATGATGAGGTTTCACAATCTGACGGGACACGTGGACGGTTGCTGCTTTAGATGTGAGGACTGTAGAATGTTTGACGCTATGGTGGAAGCTGCTAAAAGATTTGAAGTGAAACAAACCAGAGATTACATACACCCACACACACACACACACACACACACACACACACACACACACACACACACATACTTATACAAAGACATGAAACTAATACAACCAACAAGGCAGTAATTTAATTGAGTTTTCTCAATTAGCGTCTTTCTGACTGTTTTGCCAATTAGATGTGATTTTTCCTTTTTAGATTTGAATAATGTCTGACATGTTTAGAATACTCTGCTGCAAAGGAATCAGTATTGTCTATATCAAACTATATCATCCCTCTGCAATACTAACTGCTACTTTTTCCTCTTCATAATAGCTCTCTGATTGTTGGCCAGGCGTCTCTACCACCTGAGCTGCAGCCCACAACGTTTAACTGCTTCAAATTGGTTTGCTTCTTTTGCATTTACGCCTCCCCCTTTTAAAATCTTTCACGAAAGCCATTATTCTTTTAGCGTCATTTTAAAATGTCATTTGAGCCTTTTATTCAGCAGTGCGCTTGACATTTTCTGGTGCTGCCTAGCAACAGGCAAACACCTGCAGCTACCTCCAGCGTTCCAACTGATGAGCTGATGCTTTTTCCAGCCTGAATACAGCGGGCCATCTCACACATACTAAATGCCACACATATAATCCTAACCGCTGTGGTACTTCTTCCTTACACAGTGAATATTAATTATTTATTTGCTGTTGGAGTCCATTTTTTATGAACAGCTATCTAGTTTTTCTTCCAGTTGGTGTTGGTTGATTCACGACATGTGCTTTGCTGTTTCAGTAACCGGTGTAACTGCAAATAGTCCCTCTTTAATGCATACCAACCAGATATGTAGCACTATAAAGGACATGAAGGTCATCCAGGTTGGCTAGTTGAACTGGGATGACCTGCACCAGTCCCAACAACCAACGTATCATCGTGGACGAAACATTGCTAGAGGGCTTCAAAGACTGGCACATGTCTACAGAGTAACTGTCCAAGCTTCAGAAGCAGCAACAAACAGGCAATCAGTCTGTCCAATTCGCGTCAATTTGTCTGTCCATGGGATGGTGTTAGTCATTGTAAACAAATTCCAATTCGGTGGAAAGTGGAATATTAGACATAGGGGAGAAGTATGCACAATTTACTGTGAGAAAAAGATTATCATATTTATACAACAGTTTCATTAAAGTATAATCACATACAACACTTTTTAAAGATGGAGAAAGTGTATGGTGGCGGACGAGTCAAACAAACACATGGCTTTCATCTTGTGGTCGGCTGTAACTGTTTTGTTACAATCGTTAAATCAGTATGTTTTACGTTTTATTTTGAAACAGGAAATGGCTTGTAACTTGTGACCTATAATCAGGAAATGAAGGAAAATGACCTTATGGATCCATGTGGGTTTTGTAATGGACCTCACAGCACATGTACATAAAGGCAGTGGTTAAAAACACATTTCATTTATATTCATTATGTCTTTTGTGTGTTTTGGTTTTACTCTGTCTTGCGTTATTAAACCTGTGAACAACTGTCTTCATAGTCGTGATGTCAGCAAGGAGGTTGCCAAGGTGTATCACAGCACATATACCGAGGGCAGCATATCGACATTGACTTATTTTCTCATGTCAGTTGCTCCTCAGGTGAGTTGTCAAATTTGCGCCTTTTCCTAATCTTAGTCAATTAGTTTTGCGATAAACGTTTTGTGTAAAAGAAGTGCATGTGACAAGCCCAATCTAAAAGGATCAATAGATGGAGCCGCACAAATAAATAATACAAATTGTGAAATAAAAAAGTTTTTTTTAATTTTTGCCAATAGGTAAACATCAAGCAAGCCTCTGCATTCCCCAACCCACTCCCCTCTTTTTACATTGAACGCTTTTGTTCTGCTGCCAAACCAGGCGCAAATGGTACTTTCTAGCAAAGTGGATTTCAAGTGGCGTGTTGGTGGAGCGCAATGCCTCAGCTCCTTGAAAAAAATAAAAAGGTTATGAAAAAAAGAGGGAAAGACAGAGAAGTGAAAAGTAAGCGGGGACCACGTTTCACCCAATATTCTACAAATAAAGGTGGTTATAGTCCGTAAGGGCAATAAATGAATCCGTCAGCTTAGTTTAAAATGGACTACATTTGGCAGTATTAATTTGTCAATCTTGTTATTCTGAGTCTTTATATTTTACTACTCTTTTAATTGATATTTTGTCAATGCAGGCAATTTTTAGCAAGTTATTCATAGTGAATCCATTGTCCCTGTCCAGTACAAGGCTCACGTCTAGATGCAGCTTCATGCTCAGCAGCCCTGTCTCCCATCCACAATCCCCCCCAAGGATGTTGGCAGCATTGTGTTGAATGTCAGATCATGTTAATTTATTATAATTGAAGTTAATTTATTGGATGTTACATTTATTTCCTTTTATCCATTAATAATGTATTGTAGGGAGAATTTTCCATTGAATAATTTCTACCATTATAGTTACATTTAAACTGTAAAAGACGGCCCTTGGCACATTTGTTAGAAGGTATCAGTCTTGCAGCAAATATTTGATTTAGACTGTTGTCTATGTCGTGTAATATTCTCACAGCTCACTGTTAGTAAATACAGTGTGGTAAGCCAGCAAAGGTAGCGTTATTTAGATAAAGCTTATAATGGGTCTATTAGATAATGGAGGTGTGATTGTGGGAATTGTGCAGTAAGGCGTGTTCTGATTCTGGTGATGTGTTTTAATGTGGGACAAAAATCCCCGGTCTTATCTGAGAGCAGCAAAGAAAAACCAGTCATCGGTCCAACAGTCTGTGGGCAGCTAAGGCCCCAAATGAAATTACATAATTCAGATATTTTGAATTCTGACCAGGATAATTTATTTAAAACGTTGTTAAATATGATAATGATGAATTTACAAATGTGTTTTAGATGATGGGACTTCGGTTTAAACACACTTACATAAATCAAACATAATCCCCCCCCAAAATGTGGGTGGCTTCAAAAATCATTTTTATAATAATGTAACAAGATAGCCATATTGATTTAGAAGGCTTCCACATGCTGCTGTACACACATTTCATCATCTGGTTTAACTCGAACATGGTAAAAAAACATCTGCTTTTGATTCCTCTCTTTGACCGAAGTATCTTTACTGTACTATTGTACTTTAAGCTATAGAACGCCTGGGGCTTAATGTTACTCAATGTAAAAATCACTATTTTTTTATTGCCAAGGCAATGTTTTTTCTTCAAACTGAACAATATATTAACAGTTTAAAGTATACTATAAATATAAATAAATACAAAACTTGGCTTTGAACAACTGCTTCAAACGTTTAAACCATGAACAATGTATTAATGTAATGCTAGGGAAAACACTTAAATAAATATAAATAGAAGGCTGATGGCTAGCTAGCTACTGTAGCTACACAAACGGACGGAGCCATCAGAGTAGTGTAAAATAAGTATTTCAATCGGCTCAGCCACCGAAAGGAAGCACCGAAAAATGGCAGCGGTTTTTGGTACCCAACCCTAAGTGGGAGGTCACATATCTCTCGTTTTGTTCTTTTGATGTTTGCTGATTAATTAGTGGTACACAGGCTTGTCTTTTTAGACAAATGTTGTTTATGATGATATTCTTAAATGCTATCATCTTTATCTTCTTGTCAGAATTGCATTTTGAATTGCTGTATTGATTTAAAATGTTAACGGCAGATAATAACAAAACAGATCTCACATGTTAAATTTGCCAATTTCTCAAACATATGCCCATATTGGGAAAATCATGTACTGTATCTGTGACTTCTCAACATTGTCTTTATCCAAAAAATTGTTCCCCCAGTTTGCAAAATAAATGTAGTCACACCAGTGCTCTCATGTCCAAACCTTAATCTGTTTACATGACCAATTTCTATTAATCCAAACCGTCTTTTCATCTCATCTCCTCAACCGCTTATCTGGAGTCGGGGGATAAAATCTCTGGAGTCCCCTGAGGAGCCGTCCTCCCTCCTCTGGCTGTTCCTGTAAAACTTCCCTAAAGGCAGGCGTCTAGCAGGCATCCTTACCAGATGCCCTCAACACACCCCAACTGGCTCCTTTCTACGCAAAGGAGCAGCACTCCGAGCTTTTCATGGATGACTGAGCTTCTTACCCTCTCTAAGGGAGACACCAGCTCCCCTCCTGAGGAAACCCACTTTGGCCGCATGTATCCGTGACCTAGTTATTTCGGTCAAGACCCATCCTTCTTGACCCTCGGTGAAGACAGGAAAGAAGATTGACCGGTAGACCGAGAGCTTTGCCCTACGGCTGAAAGCGAGTGCAACACCGCCCCCGCTGCTTCGGATCTCCGGCCCAACTCTCACTCGCACGTCTTCCCCTCACTCACAAACAACTCTGAAGTACTTGAACTCCGTCACTTGGAGTAAGGACAGATTTTTCTATTATTAGTGCTTATAAGTCAGTATGAGCTTGCTGAAATGCTGTGGTGATATAAACATCAACATGTAAGTGTGTGCTGCCCAGCCATAACAAATATATATATATTTTTTTACCTAAATGACGACTCAGTTAAGTCAAAGATGACCACTACTGCAGTTAGAGAGTTTCTTTGGGGGTTAACATGTGACAAGTAGAGAGTTTATTCTTTGGCATTACTTTCAATCAAAGTTATATTGACCCTTAGAGAAGTTCAATAAAAAAATGCAGGTTATGAGTTAAGCTGAACCGGGCCTCAGGGAGTCTGAAGAGTTGCACATAAAGTAGATTTATCACAGCTTCTTTCTGGTTCTCACAGGTTTTCACTCGCCTCTGAGAAACATTTATCTAAAAATAGAAACTTAATTAAAGCTTTTTATCAAGGCTTTAACCACTTACTTGATACTTGAATCAATCACACTGCATTAATTTGGCAGATGTTTTGGTTCAAAGCAACTTGCAATAAGTGCATCCAACCTATAGGCAAAAAAAAGCATTTACTACAAACCATGAACGTTAGCACACACATCTTTTTGGTGACAATTTGGCAGGAGGATTATAAGAAAAAAGAACAGGTTTTTGTTTAAGTAAATTAATCTGCCGTCCTTTTTGTGCCTGACTCATTTTCAAGTGGAGAACTACAACTGAATCATTATTAAAGAGGGGGAACTGGGGGAGGTACTGAAGCGCTGATATCCGACCTGCCTAATCACCATGGCTACCACTCACTTCACCTGCCGGTGTCCATTAAAACACAGCATGTTGATTTAAAGGAGTTTAACACCCCAGTGTTGTCTGCTAACTTGTGTGTACATTTAGATGCAACAAATACACATTATATGTTTAATGTCACGGCCAAGATGGCCAGAGGATAAAGACACAAACACTTTATTTAGTAATGTTGATAAACTATGACTTTTAGTCAACATGTGTGTACAACATGTTTCCAACTAAACATGATTTCAGCTCTGCCCTCTACCTCTACCATCATTTAAAAACACACTCCGGTCACAGAGATGGATACCAGTCAGCAAAAAACTTAGTTTGAATTACAAACACCAGTCAGATTGATCAGCTCCCTCGTCCTTTATGGTTGGAGGTACACAGTTCAGAGGAACAGAAGGACGGGCTCTGCTCTGCTGCAGCAGCATGGCGGGACTCGGGCCTGGCTGCCACTGCTGGGTGCACCGCGGGACAACAGTGCTGTGTGGCGAACCGACGTGCTTTTGCTCCTGTCCTCTCTGTCCTCTGGTTGTTAGGTAAGCTGTTAGCTTTTGATATTTGGTGGCTATGGCTCTTTCACTGCGTGCAGATGTGTCCTTGGGATTTTTAACCCCATCAGCGTATGAATGGCCGTGTATGTGAATTCGATTAGTGATTATTTATGGGCGGGTGGCACCTTGCATGATGTCATCTGCCATTAGTGTCTTAATGTCTATGAATAGTGGCATGTACTATGAAGTGCTTTGAGTGTTTGGAAGACGAGAAAGGTGCCGTTTACTGCTTTGTCGGGTAACAAGCAAGATCTGCCGTTTTCAGATCTGCCGTTTTCCAATATTGCCGTTACGTTTTACCCAACAGATGTTGCTAAATATGTCATATATATGTTTCTAACCGAGCCACCTATTGTGATTGTAGTGTAGCAAACGGCTCCATCTTTGCCTCAGATTTGAAAACTGTGGTTGAATGGCGTTTTATAAATACAAAAGATCGCACACTTTGTGCTCAAGTAGTTCAGCTTGCCTGAAGCATTCATTTTTAAGCTTATTTAATTGGGAAGTGTGTATGTATCAATGTGTATTTAAGTGTGTGAGTACGAATGTAACACACATTTCTTTTTTTCTTCTAACGGTCTTTGCAATCTTCTTTTTTGATATTTCAATAAAAACACATTTTATTATTTTCACTGTGCTTCTGAAAAGAGAATTAAACAACCTGATCAAATCTCAATCATGAACTTCAATTTCACTGTCTTTAATTCACTAGTCCAGTTGTCATCTGTCACATGTAGGGAAGGTAAAAACAACTGTATTGAGTGCAATCAGCACCTCAATGACACAATTTATTTTCCTGTCACAAGGAATAACTGTGCCCAGCCCGTCCTAGTTTGTTCCTTTGCCTTGAATCCCTTATCCCTTTAAAACAAACCATTCCAAACACTGAATAAATCAACAGAAAGATAAACTCTGATCTTTTGTTTGGGTCTAAAGAAGTAGGGATCAAGCAGTGAGTTTCCAGAAGGCCTTCCCCTTCCCTTCCTTCATTTTAATGCACAAGGTGTTTGTGAAATATGACAGGGATGGCCGTGTGTGTGTGTGTGTGTGTTTGTGTATGCGCGTGTTTCTGTATGTGTTAGAACTGAGGAGAAGCAAGGGAAGCGGAAGAAGATGAACATGCTTTATGGCAGTTGTAAAATTCTCCATGGTCCGTCTGCTAGGAAAGAGCCAAGGGCAGAATGTTTATGACTCCCAAGCATTATAAACTACCTCTGTGCATTTACCTCAAGCTGCTGGGTCTGGCCAGCCATGTCCCCGCTCAGGAGAACGGGCGTCGGAGTGGCGTGTCTCTTCATGAATACTAACTATACCTCTGTTTCACTATCATTAAATGCATCTATACAATTTCCAGCCTCACCTCGGCTCCTGGTAAAGTCAGGAGCACCGAAGAGCCATTTCATGCAGGGAATATCAACTGGTCCAGCTCCTACATGGGCTGAATGCATGCCGGTCCTCTGTTAGTACAATGCATTCGAAACAGACAGAAAGCAGTAGGGCAATAGTAACGTGACCAACGGGGCGAGCAAAGCTAGCATTGCGTATTGAAAGTAATGTTTGTTGTCAAATAACTCCGGTCTAAAAAGTCTGAAAAGAGCTGTGAGATCCTTTGCAAGGTAATAGCCTTTTGAATCATTTGAAATATTTAAGGGAAAGTTCCATTGATAAAGCTGTGGAAACCAGCTAATTTTGAGGGGATCATTTAAATGTGACCTTCAAAATCATATTATCCAAATGCCAAGGCTGCATGAGTAATCAAAATGCATACTCTGCCGTATGGATATATTGAGATGTTGAGATATTTGTTTTCTTCAATGATCGTCATTTCTGCAGTTTCAAATCTTTGTCAATTTGTCAGAAACAACCTGAGGGTGGAAAATAAAGTTGTTATATTTGCTGGTGAGGGTTGATTTATGCACTGTTTACCTCCTTCCTTAGTACAACTAAAGTTAGCTAAGCTGCCAAAAACAACCTGACGCCGAGGGCTACGTCTACCAGTCATTTCAGCAAAGTCAAGAGTCTCCCAGCCAATTTATACAATGCATCTACTCTGCTATGCTAAGATATCATTGATCAATAAGAAAGTAAGAGACTAATGAGACTGTGTCCTCCCCATTATTTGTAGGTTCATCCTCTTACAGGTTGTAGCTCCTCAGGGCTACAACCTGTTGTGCCGGGTGAAAACATACAAATTCGACACCCAGCAGTCACAACACATCCACAACAACATACCACATAATTAATCTCCATGATTTATATTCAGCTCCCATATGTTTCCCAAATTCAAACTATGTCACGTTTCGTTGGTGTGAGGCGTGCAGAATAAGCAGCAGCAGCTCTTCCTAACAGAAAGGACCTTTCCTCTTAGGGTGTTGAGTCTTGGTGCACAGACACACTTAATCTGTATCCTAACACCATTTCACACTCAGACTCTGAAAGCTGCTGTCAAGGGATAAAAGATTTATTTTCCTGTAATTGCCTAATTTTGCCTTTCCTGCAGGCCCAGAGGGAGCTGCAGCCCACCAATAGACAGCCTAACCTTGCCTACTGAGGAACAGTTCAAGGATGTAATACTGTCAGCGTCACATAGTGCTCTCTGGTGATTTATCATTACTGCCTCTCTCTCTCTCTCTCTCCCTCTGTCCCCCCCTGCACTTCTCCTCACCTTCTGCTTGAACAAACATTTAGTCACTTGTTATGGCTCCGCTCATTGAAGGTAAACGCCGCCGAGTGTTTGCCTTGCAAACGCAAAGGAGGGGATCTGTTGATAGAGGTAACTTGGAACTGAGACCGCAGGGGTGATATGTGGAATGACTGCAACACACACCTTGGATGTGTTGTTTGTTAGAATCAATAGCCTGAACAAGCAAGCGAAGGGAGTGCCTTTGTTATGCTGGGCCGGAATGAGGTCAGTGATGACGGCTCACTGATGAGTGTTTACTCTTTGGGAGTGCTGAGAATGGCAGATCAGGTGGACAATTAGGAAAACATGATGGCTTTGCTTTTGCGGTTTAGTACAGACTTAAATGTAAAATGGCAAAAAATAAATATACAAAGTAAGACAATACCGACCCACTACATTAAGTCATTTGAGGAAGAAGTGATCATTTTTGTAACCCTCCGTTGATGAAATTTGTAGCTAGGACATTTTAAAATAACTATTGACCAGACAGTAGACTGCCACATGGTCCCGTAAAGATTATGTGTAAACTGAGGTACATGATGCGTGAAGCCTACAGCCTATTTACCACAGTGCATGTAGCAGTATGCTCAATTTTACTTCTTATCTACAGTCACTCACCAACTTTTGCTGGGATTAGTCTGGGTTTATTCTGTACACTACATATGTAGTCTTAAGGCCTTGGCAGCTTATGGCTTGTGTAAAGTTATTACAAATAATTCAGTTCAATATCCAGTCTATAAATACATACATACATACATTTTCTTTAAAGCTAGAGAAAAAGAAAAAAACATTCCTGTTTTTGCAGCAGAATCCCCATTATGGATGCAAAAACACAAATGTTTAGTTCTTCACATTTAGCACCGATACTGTGTTTGTTATGAAGCAGGGACTAAAAGGATCAATTACAATTGTTATAGATGTGTAACAATTGTTCTTAGTCTCAGTCAAGTTTTGAAAGAAATCAATTTTTGTCAGTAACAGTGTGTTTCACGTGGCAAAACCTTTCATTTAGTTTGTGTTGAGGCCCTAACAGGTTCGGACGTCTGTTCTGCCATGAACAATATTCACTCTCCAGTGCGTTAAGTGATTTTAATCCATCCTCCACATACAATTACCAACGTAAATGTCCTAACATTGAATTACATTTTTCGGTCACAGGCCCCACACAGCACAAGACGCCACCTCATTAACACTACACGTTGACACCTGCGACACAGTCAAAAACCGTCAGCTTCCCATCCACACCTGTTTGTCACGGTGTGGATTTATTTCCTGTCTTATTTTGTAGTTTTCTGCTTCTTGTCTCCCTGGGTAACTTCACTTCCTGCCTTGTCCTGTCATCGTCTGTGATTGTCTGATTGTTTCCACCTGTGTCCAATCACCTGCACCTCCCTAGTGTATTTAAGCTGTGTGTGTCTTGTGTCACTTGTCGCGTCATTGTCAATCGTCCCGGATGTTCGTAGTTCCCGCCTGCCGTTTTTCGTGCGTGCGTGCGTGCGTGCGTGCGTGCGTGCGTGCGTGCGTGCGTGCGTGCGTGCGTGCGTGCGTGCGTGCGTGCGTGCGTGCGCCTTTGCCTTTTGCTTTTGTTGCCTTTTGGACTATTAAAGTCTTTTTGTGTTCGAACTCCGCATTTGAGTCCTGCCTTCCCACGCATCCCTGACACTGTTCTCATTAACAGGCATCTTCATGGTGATGTGCCACCCTATGTTCAAATGTAGGAATTGTATGTTTGTATATTGCATGTAACAATTCACCCGGTGTTTACCCCAAGATAAATAAAAGCAACCGTTGCATTATGGCTCCAACAGTTTGACTTGATCACGCATCAATAAAGTAGTTTGCGCCACATAACAAATTAACTGCACTAACTGATCGGGGGCTACAACAGGAGCATAGTCATAAGTAATATGATAATATACAGCAAGCTGGTTATTACTCTGGCAAAATTTTGCATGACTGACTCAATCTGAATCTATCATGTCATTCTCCTTAGAACGATATTGCTCTTGTAATAGCGGTCGTTGTAACCTTTTTATTTTGTTGAACCTGTCAGGGAAGGGCCACCTACAGCTTCACTATAGGTGGACTATTGTGCTAATGTCCTGTGGATGTAGTGTCTTTGTCAGTGGGGGACTGAGGCGAGAGGTCTTGGTCCTGATGGACCGCAGCCCCCTGCCATAAGGAAGGGGCTCAAAAAGTTTGTGTCCGGGTTGAAAAGGGTCGGCTACAATCTTTCCTACCCCCTCATAGTCCTGGAGGGACAGCAGATTGCAGCCGATCACCCCCTCTGCAGAGCGGATGACCTCTGCAGAGCGGATGACACGCTGCAGCCTGTCCTTGGCTGTGGCTGCAGCGTACCAGCCGGTGATGGAGGAGCAGAGGATGGGCTCAATGATGGCCGTGTAGAAGTGCACCATCATCGTCATTGGCAGGTTGAATTTCTTCCGCTGCCTCAGGAAGAACAGCCTTTGCTGAGCCTTCTTGGTGATGGAGCTTGAGATCCTGGGATATGATGGAGCCCAGGAAATGGAAGGACTCCACAGTGGTGACGGGGAACAGTGTGGTTGCATTCCTTTGGATATCCACAGTCCCTGTCCCCACTCTTGAACGCCTGATTCTTCAGCACAGCTGTCTGAGTTCAGTTTGTCACTGTTGTAACTCACCCTGGTGCATGATGGGACACAGCTGACCCCCTCCTCGTCAGTCATCCAGTCCCCGCCGGATCGTTAAGTCACATTTGTGCGTGGCTGAAGTATTTTTGACCTGCCTGTCGGCGTTCATATTTGCTTTGTTTTTGACTCTGCTTCGTTCTTCCCACAGAATTATCACCTCAAGTAAACCCCCTACAACACGGTCTCCCTGCATGTGGTATCATCACACCACCGCTCTCCTCGCTCCTCACCCAATCCTTTAATAAGTACTTTTTGTCACTATCGTTTTGGTTCCGGTCTGCTTTTGGGTACCTTCAGAACCCTGACAGCTGATAGATGCCGTCACAGCCTCTGC